GTGTTAAAATAGAATGGAAACCTGAAGTTTTTTTTATTAGGAATAACGACTGTGAAATATAAAAAAGAAATTCAGTATTTAATTATGGTAAAATTCAGTATATGATTACGGTGGCAAGGATTGCCTTTGCCCAAAAATGGAAAAACAAATTAATTCCAAGCGAAGATGAAATATTAAGAAAGGTTATGGACTGTGCTAAAATGGACAAATTAACAAAAGAAATCCAGGGAAAAGAAGAAACAGAATACAGATATGGGATAAATGGTATGGGTGGATGGAGGAAAGAAACAAGGATCAATGAAGGAAGACAACAAAGCCCAAAAATAGTAGTTAAGGAGAATTAACACATATATATATATCCAAGTGGTTCAAACTTACTAGAGTAATCAGCCAATATAGCAGACAGAGGAGTAAGATAAGAGGGTTAAGAATGGTGAAATACAAATGAAATATTATAGAAGCGAAAACAATGTAAGGTGAGCGATATTGACTGGCAATTGCTATTAGAAAGAACAGGAAGCTCCTGTTCGTATTGTATTGTGTAAATGTACTGTATGTCTAAGTTTTGTTTATGTGTATTTTACATGTTTGTAAATAATTTTTTTTAAAAAAATGTGTGGATTTCAATTACAGAAATCCCCAGCCACCATGTTGGAGCTGAAGTCCACAGATCTTAAAGTTGCAAATATTGAGGAATACTATCTTAGATTTAGATTAGCAAAAGTCCTTCAATTCCATATTCACTTTTCCTGTTGGACAGAAGAAAGTATGTCAGAAATGCTCTTCATCTCCAAATCTTTCCCAAGTTTACCTGCCACATTTTTTACATGGAAATTCCTCCTCTTGATTCTGGGGTTTGTTGGCCGTTTCTTGTTTGGGTTTCGGTTTTCTCTTTCTCTTTTGCACTGGTGGCGAAGTCTTCCGATATTTAATGGGTGTCTCCTTCGTCCTTCTTGAAGTTCTGCCTCTAACCTCTGTTCTTCCTGGGGTACCAGATTCCAGATGTTTTTCCATATGGAGATTACCAGCCTTCAGAATAAGACACCATTATTACAAGATGTACCTATAAGTATTCCTATGGAATTGATTTATTCATTTCATTTATATCCCACCTTTATTATTTTTTTGAAAATAAATCAAGGTGCCAAACATACCTAATAACTCTTGAGCAGGGGCTGGACTAAAAGACCTCCAAGGTCCCTTCCAGCTCTATTCTATTCTCATGAGCTTGTCTTTCCTCCTATTTTCCCCACAACAACTCTGTGAGGTGAATTGGGTTGAGAGAGTAACTAGCCCAAATTCACCCAACTGGTTTAACAAAGTTTAACAAACTTAACAATGGTCAGAAAAGAGTTTGGTGTGATTAAAGTATTGATATAATGATGTTTATTTTTATGAGGCTTAAACTCAGACTTCAGGCATTCAACACATTACAAAGCCGGTGCTTTTTAATCATGTCTTAAATAAGCTATGAATATTTTGAGTTCCTCTTAGAGTTTTTCTTGAGGGCTGTTAAAACATTAAACAATGGTTTTGGGTTGTTTTGTTTTTGCCAATCGTGTGAGGAAACATACTATAGCAGCATACTGATTCCCCAGTCTATTTTAAGTACAAATTATGAAAGCACTGTTGACCTATGAAGTAAACAAGGAGCCTACCGGCTCTTGTATACACATCACATTATATTAAAAGAAACATTTCACAGCCAAAAGTTTTCTGCTTACAAGCTCCCTTGAGGAAAGGTATGCAAAAGTAAAATGAATATTACACTAAATATTATTAAGACCACCAGAAGGCAAAATAAATGTTTTGAAAGTTTTCAAGTACACGACTGCAAATTCAAGTTCAGGATACTTTGAAAAATCCATAAAAAGATCCAAACTGTGCTTTAAGATTATTGCGTTGGGGTGGGGGTGGGGTGTTGCAACTACTTTGCTGATTAAAAATATTGCACAGGTAGTCTTCTCCTTCCAATGGCGAGGCTGGAAACTCTTTTATCATTAAGTGACACCATCATAAACTTACAATGTCATGTGAATGTATTATGTAGCAGCAGCACTTTCAGTAGTTTTCAGGTAGCCATTGTTAGCAAGGACCATGCAATTGTGCATGTGATCACAATTTCCAACTTCCTGCCAGCTTCCCTATTGACTTTGCTTGTGGGAAGCCAGCTAAGGAACATTGAAAACTGTGATTAAGTGACCACAGCTTGCTACAACATTGTAATCACAAGCCAGAAGCAGAGCATCCAAATCCCATGGTCCCATGACTAAGGGGACCTGTCCTAAATTTCCCTTGTTCAGCACCATTGTAACTTTGAACTGACTTTGAACAAAGGGTTGTAATCAGAGGACTACTACCTGTATCTACACTTCTAATGTCATCTTTCTTGACTGAAAGCTTCAGGCAGCTGCCAGACAATTATTCATGCCATGAATAATTTATGTCACTAGTGATGTTAACTAAGGACAGAAATTACATTGATTCCACTACAACCGGTCAGATGTTTTATAAGAAATGCCCCAGGCAGAAATTGTTGACTGTGGTTCATTCAACACTTACTTGTTCCTCAACATCTCGAAGAGGAGTCGATCTGGAAGGTGCGAAGTTGTTGCTTTTGCCATACAACTCATCCCCTTCCATAGCTTCCTCTTTAATTGGCATGACTTCCTCAACTTCTTCAAGATCTTCATCTTCTGTGTTTTCATAGTCTTCATTGTATGTTCTGGGAGGAAGAGTACGGGTAAGCCTGTGGGAACTCTTCAGAAGAGTACAAAAAGAAATACAGGTTAAAAACAATCACTTCAGCACAGATTAGGAATATACATGAATCCAATAGGGCTCATTCTGCAATGGTATGTAGGAACGAGCTTGGAAGGCAGGGCAAAGAGATCATGCCTAAGGCAGTAGCCCCCAATCTTTTGGGCACCAGCGACCGGCTCCATGGAGAGAGGTTTTTCCATGGACCAGAGGGGACGTGATATTGTGTGCTGCCTGTATCTCACGAATGAGCCTTTGCTTGTTTGCACAGACCAGTTTCTGGCATGCCACACAGAGGTGGTATTCAGCAAGTTCTGACCAGTTATGGAGAACTGGTAGCGGAAATTTTGAGTAGTTTGGAGAACCGGTAAATACCACCTCTGACTGGTCCCCATCTATTTTCTGCCTCCCGAGTCCCAGCTGATTGGCAGGAAATGGGGATTTTGCAGTAACCTTCCCCTGGAGTGGGGAGGGAATGGATTTTACAGTATCGTTCCACTGCCACGACCACCAAGCCATACCACGACCACCAAGCCATGCCTACAGAACCGGTAGTAAAAAAATTTGAATCCCACCAATGATGCCACGGCCTAGTTCTAGTCCACGGACCGAGAGTTGGGGACCCCTGGCCTGGTCAATTAAAAAGAGAGCTGAGAGCAAAGCCTGCAACTGCATAACAAGTGAAGCAAGAGAACCAGAAGGGTCCCTCTTCATGTTCTTCAGCTGTAAAAGTTGAAGAAGTATAGTTTCAGACTTTCAAATTCTGTTAATGTAGTTTGACAATAAAATAAGCTCACTTGATCACGTTTCCTGTGTGGTCTACCCAGTAAGACTGACACACATTCACTACCATTCTAATAGCTCAGTGTTTCCCAACCATTTTTTGGCTATGCCCCACGTAAGCATCTCTAAAACCCTGATGCCCCCGTGACATATTCTTACTTTACTCAAAAAGTGAACTCTACTCAC